GCAGCAGGCATTTTCACTCACAATTTATTTTTTACATGCTTCATTGAACTAACAATCACTTTTATAAACAAAATTAGAGGTTATGTCATGTCTTATTTTGTTTTTAAATATAATGATCTTCTCCTCCGCGAGAGGCTCTTCTATCGATGTAAGTGAGCCTAGAGGAATCACTGTTATGAAAAATGCGGCCACGTTTGACGCGGATTCATCACGGGCGTTCGGTCTCCTTATACTACTCCATGATAAAATCCTCGCAATAATTCAATTACTTTCATAAATACACTGAGAAAACTGGAGAGTCAAATTCAGAGGTTCAAAAAGTGTATGTTTCCTTTGCTTATGAAGAGAGTTAAATAGTCCTTCTAAAATAAATTTTGAATTGGTAATGGAAATCTACTTGTATATTCTCTCCCATTATATCTGAGGGTTAAAAGTTGCGCAGAAAATGTGTACGATCTGATGCGCGCGAAATTATTTTTCTGACATTTTATGTATTTAATTTAGGGGTTAGGTTGCCATATTTATTCATTTCGCGCCGGATAAGGAAGGGATTTCTCAAGATGGTTAATTTGTCCCTCTGTTATAAACTCATTTTCCCTCCAAGAGAAATGGCACGAATATCTGTCAATGGTGTATTTGAACATTTAGATTGTTATCCATAGCTAACTCTCAAACATGAACGATTTGTCCCTCCAGATGTTTAGTCCAATACTCCAGTTTTTTCAGTGTAGCAAAATTTTTCAGATTTACTAAATTCTTTTGAATATTATTTTTGAAAAATATTCTTCACAAGAATTCAATTATTTTCATAAATTTCCATAAAATTTAAAAAAAACAATTCCATTATTTTCAAAAGTAATAAAATTCTCCGCAGAAATTCAATTATGTTTAAAATTTTTTTGAAATTCTCCTCGAAATTTCAATTATCTTTATAAATAATTAAATTGTTCTCCACAATTCAATATTATTTTCAAAAATTTTAATAAAATTCTACGCAAATATTTAATTATTTTCATAAATATGTAATAACATTCTTTGGAAGAATTCAATTACTTTTATAAATAGTAAAATTCTTTGTTTGTAAAAATAATTGGATTCTTGAGAAGAGTTTGATACACGGAGAGAGAATATATATTAAATTTTGTAAAAATATTTTCAAATTGGGGAAAAAGTGCAACAAAGCGAAATTTTAATATAGAAAATACTAAACTTTAAAAAAAGTTTTGTGAAATTTATTAAAGTTATATTAGAATTTAATTAATATTCTTGATATTTGATATAATTATACTAAATTTCACATAAATTTTTTTAAAGTTTAGTATTTTTTATATCAAAATTTCGCTTTATCGCACATTTTCCCCAATTTGAAAATATTTTTACAAAATTTAATATATATTCTCTCTCCGTGTAAAAATTGAATTGAAAATAATTGAATTCCAATGAAGAATTTTATTGTTTATAATAATAGTTGAAATTCTTGCAAAGAATTTTATTCAAACTTAATTAAAAATAATTAAATTCTTTAGAGAGATTAATTAAAATGTTTTAAAAAAATTGAATTTCATTCAAATTCAATTGAAAATAATTAATTCCTGTAAGGAATTCTTTTATTTGTAAAAATGATTGAATTCTTGAGACGACTTTTCTTTCTTTGCAAAAATAATTAAATTCTTGCAAAGAGTTTGATTAAAGTTGAATTAAAAATAATTGGATTCCAACAAACAATTATATTATTAGAAAAATTATTGAATTCTTTCAAAGAATTTTGTTCAAATTGAATTAAAAATAATTAAATTCTTTAGAGAAATTAATTGAAATATTTAAAAACAATAGAATTTATTTTAAATTGAAAATAATTGAATTCCTGTGAAAAAATTTATTGTTTATAAAAATAATTGAAATTTTTGCGAAGAATTTGATTAAAATTGAATTGAAAATAATTGAATTCCCAAGAACAATTACATATATTGTTTATAAAAATAATCGAATTCTTGAGAAGACTTTCATTAAAATTGAATTGAAAATAATTGAATTCACATGAACAATTATATTGTTTATAAAAATAATTGAATTCTTGAGAAGAGTTTCATTAAAATTGAATTGAACATAATTGAATTATTTCTATCCATTCTAGAAATTAAATACTTTTTCCTGTACTTTCGGTAAATTCTCTAAATTTTCCCTTATTGCCCAGACTAATTTTATTTTCCATTTTCTCTCCCTGAATTTTCTGATTTACCTCACCTGTGACAACCCTGTTTTGTTATTAAAAATAAAATTAAATTAAAATTAAATTAAATTAAATCGAGAAACAAAAATAAAAACAAAAGTATATCGAAACTTTATTAAGCAAATATTATTAACATGAGAAGTTCAACGTCCCTTTGGACAGGACAAAGAACATCCGATCAGCTGATGATGTTCAGAACAATAGATTTACTTTCACTGTTTCCTCAGAAAACTGGTCCGAAACGACTGACCCATCACACTACCGGAAAGATTACCATTTTCATTTCCCATTCGAAACGGACTGTTTGCTTAAGAAAATCAGCAAATAAAATAATTATCTAAGAACAAAAGGGATTCATTAGTATTTAATCTCTTATTCCATTTGTTCTCGTGAAACAAAATTTTTAATGAAAAAAATGGTCAATTTCTTTTATTCTTTTCTTTTTTTTAAAGAGGAAAACATGCTCTCTTCTAATTCATTAAATTCCAATTTCTTTTGATATCCGCACGTATATACATAAAAAAACGTAGTTCTTTCAATTATTTCTTCCCACTACAATTTAAAATGTTGACATATTTTTCCCGCACAGTCGGGATATTTTAATTCATAATGATATCAAATAAAAAATTTACTATCCGCTCGGTATACTTTTCTTTTATTCCCCACTGTAATGGAATCCTCTTCCAACTGAAGGTATTTTCGATCAAAAATTTAATACAACAATGCTGACAATATTTGTTTTATAATTATTGAATTCTAATTTTTTTATATTATCAATGTCCACATTACAGTGAAAACTTTTTGTTTATAAAAAAATTATAATCATTATATTAATTATTATAATTAATTGTTATATTTATAAAGAAGTTGTTATTACTTTGGTATTATCAAATAATCATTCGAATATTAAACATTAATGTCATAAACATAAATTACAGTAATAATTAATATTATTAATTAATTTGAATTAGTAAATTTTATTAATAAATAGTATGGTTTCTACTAATTTAGTAATTTTCTACTAAATTTACTAATAAATAGTAATTTCTATTAATTTAGTAATTTTCTACTAAATTTACTAATAAATAGTCATTTTTACTTATTTAGTAATTTACTATACAAGTTTTACTAATAAATAGTAATTTCTACTAATTTATTAGTAAACTTTACTAATTCAAAAGCAAAAAGTCGGTCAATAATTTAAATTAGTAAACATTTTTACTAATTCAAATTTGGAGAGCGGAAAAATAAACTTTTATTTGATAATTTAATTAAGTAACTGCACTGAGAAAACTGGAATGTCAAATTCGGAGGTTCAAAAAGTGTATGTTTCCTTTGCTTATGAAGAGAGTTAAATAGTCCTTCTAAAATAAATTTTGAATTGGTAATGGAAATCTACTTGTATATTCTCTCCCATTATATCTGAGGGTTAAAAGTTGCGCAGAAAATGTGTACGATCTGATGCGCGCGAAATTATTTTTCTGACATTTTATGTATTTAATTTAGGGGTTAGGTTGCCATATTTATTCATTTCGCGCCGGATAAGGAAGGGATTTCTCAAGATGGTTAATTTGTCCCTCTGTTATAAACTCATTTTCCCTCCAAGAGAAATGGCACGAATATCTGTCAATGGTGTATTTGAACATTTAGATTGTTATCCAATAGCTAACTCTCAAATATCAACGATTTGTCCCTCCAGATGTTTAGTCCAATACTCCAGTTTTCTCAGTGTGAATTCCCGAGTCGAAATTTAAGCCCTACTTTCACCCTGAATTTTCAGGGTCTATTGAGTGTTAGGAGTAGTAAAGTAGGGTCTAATTCTAATACAATTAGACCCTACTTTGACTCCCAAAACAGGCTGAAATTTGCCAATCTTCCATTTGGAGAAGCAAAGGAGGGTCTAATTTTAAGAAACCTATACCGTACTTTTAAACCTCGTAGACCCTACTTTCATACTCCTAGACCCTACAATTAGAAAAAGAAAAATTTGAAGATTTGCTCAGATTCAAATGAAGCACTTGGGATGAGTAAAAGTGGAATTTTATGTGTTTTATCAATTTGGAGTACTTTTTGCATTCGCAGTGTTTCAAGTAATGCATTAAAAAATAATTCAAAATTTTCTTTTAGAATGTAGGGTCTAGGAGTATGAAAGTAGGTTCTACGAGGTTTGAAAGTACGGTATAGGTTTCTTAGAAGTAGACCCTCCTTTGCTTCTCCAAATGGAAGATTGGCAAATTTCAGCCTGTTTTGGGAGTCAAAGTAGGGTCACTTTACTACTCCTAACACTCAATAGACCCTGAAAATTCAGGGTGAAAGTAGGGCTTAAATTTCGACTCAGTTTAAATATTCTAAATTTTGTTTAAAGTCAATTTAAAAATTAATTTAATTAGGTGATTTAATTAATTCAATTAATATTTGATAATAATTAATTAAATATTATTTAATAGTCTCAATAACAAAAGTGTTAATAATAGGCAACAATAATGGGCAAAATAATTAAAAGTATCAGAAAATTTAAGAAGAAATGTAATCAACGAAATAATTCGAAAAGCCACGACGCAATTATAATTTGATTTACAAACTTGAACTTATTATTAAAAAAAACATGGTTCACTTCAAAAATCTCGTCATTATGGAAGAATTCGATTTCAATAAGGACACGATGGAAGCAGATTCTTTGGAAATTGAGGTAATTGAGAAGAAAAAATTTTTCCCTATTTCTAAAATTGCAAAAAAAAAAATTTACCTCGTAAAAATAAAATCTATAGTATAAAGTATGAAATATTTTTTATTTTCTCTTCTTTTTTTAAGAAAAATTTTTTTTTTTCAAATTTACTTGATGCATTCCTTGAGTCTTTTTTGCATGCTCGTTATCTCATTATGTACAGCCATCAAAACTTTTGCATTGCATTCTAAAGTATCACTAAGTGTTGTGAGCTTTACAGTTCCTCCTTCAATCTCAAAAGTAATCAGTTGCCGTAATAAACCATTCAATAAAGTTTCAAGCTCCTCAACTCGAATGGAATTACAGTCATCCTTTCGTTTATCACTTTCAGATAAACATGTGTCTTCAATTAACTGCAAGTCGTTTATAATTTTCACGCTTGTCTGCAAAATGAATTATATCATTTTTTAATGTAATTGGTCTTTCAAAAAAAATTTTGTACTTTTTTTGCAATAAAATTAATAATTAAAAAATGCTGATCTCCCCTCCGAATAAGAATTAAAATGCCGTTTGCCCCCACAATAAAAAATAATTAATAAAATCATAATTAAATAAAAGAAATGCCGTTCCCCCTCCAAATAAGAATAAAAAATGATAATTAAATAAAAAGAATGCTGTTCGACTACCAAAAAGAATAAAAAAAATAATTAACAATAAAAAATGCTATTTCCGCCCCCCAAAATAATAAAAAAAATTAATAATAAAATAATAATTAAATAAAAATTACTGTTTTCGCCCTCTTACCAAATAATAAAATAATAATTAATAAATTAATAAAACATAAATATAAAAATGCTATTTCCTCCTCTCGAAATAATAAAAAAAAAAATTAATAATAAAATAATAAATAAAAAATTCTGACCCACAAGTAATAAAAAAAATATAAATAATGAACAAATATAAAAAGCTATTTCCGACCCAGAAATAATTAAAAATAATAATAAAACAATGAACAAATAAAAAAATGCCATTTCCGCCCCCGAAATAATAAAAAAAAATTAATAATAAAATAATACTGTGATATTTAAAAGATTTACTTATACTTACGAGAAGAATATAAATAAAATTAAAAAAAACAAAAAGATAATAATAAATGACCTGATGGATTTTTTGAACTTCTTTTCGAATTGGATCTCCAAATTCCAAAGCATGTCGACCGCAATTAAAAAGAGGAACAGCCACTCCATCGACAATGTCACTCAATTTTTTCTGTTCAATTGCAATGCATTCATTTTGCTCGCTTGTTTCCGCTAGTGCGCTTACATTCTATATATATATATATATATATATATGTACAAAGAACGACGAGGGAAAAAATTATTATACAATTTAAAAACATAAAATAATTGTGCGATAAACTCGATTACGTACATTAAACAAAATGTGAGTTGAATTCCATGTATCAAATAAAGAGTATGCTGTTAGATCTCTCATGTTGCTCAGCATATTTATTAATGAATTGAAAAATTCCTGATCATAATCAAGTGTTTTTCGTGCTGCATAATTCGCAAATATCTTCAGTTTTGTCATATAATTGCTTTTGACCTATTGTACGAAAAACAAATATTTCATTTTCAAATGCACTTTATTATTGGCTTTTTATTATTATTACTTATTTTATTTTTATTAATAATGACAATAATGAAAATAATAATAAATTAATAATATTCACTATAATGTGGATTGAAGATTTGAAAAAGTCGTTTCTTTTATTCAATGTTGTCACAAAAATTTATTAAATAAATAATTAATAATTAATAAATAAATAATAATTATAATATTAATTAATAGTCTAATTGTACTTACTTCAAAAAAGCAAAAAACAAACAAAATCCAGACAAATTGTAACTTCATGTTTTCACTATTAAATCGAATATGCATATTAAATAAAAGCAAAGATGCCTTTATTTTTATATAATAATACCGTCATTTCATTTTTTTTAAGTGGGAGAAATTTGTTCTAAATTGATTATTCAGTAAAAAAAATCACGCACTTATATTTATCTATTAACGTTTACAAAATTTTTTCAATAGTTTGCAAACTATAGTTTTTAAATTTTAACACTATAAACGAACGAACAAAAAATTATTCATTTTTCCTTCAAATTCTATTCATGTAAATTGAAACAGGAAATGTATTGAATTTCAATTTAGAATTTACTGTAATTTGGGTTGTTGTTGTAGTTGTTTTTTTTAGTACAACATTTAATTATACAAATCACGTTTATGCGGGAAACTTGATATTTTTCGGTCATGTGACATATATTTCCCGCAGTAAAATGCGGGAAACACTTTTTGCTTATCAATATAATAAAAATTCTTTTCTAAATATGTATAAATATTCTTTATTTTCTTCCTTTCTCTAAAATTTATTATATTTCTCTCTAAACAAAAAATTTTCTCCATTCAAATATTCTTTTAATTTTCTTAAAATTTCTCTAAAAAATCGCTCTCTTTTTCCAAAATTCGTTTTTTTTCTCTAAACAAAACTTGTTCAAAAAATAAAAATTAAATTTAAAATTTAATTTAAATTAAATTTAAATTAACAATTGAATTTTTAAAAATCATTTTTAAATAATTAGAAATTTCATTTTCGAAAAAATTGAAAAAAACTTTTTTCGAATATTAGGGAAGATGTAAAAAAGTGGTACGCACGTTGAGACACCCGTAGTAATTTATTTTAAATTGAAACAAAATGAATAACAACGTCAAATTCTAATTGTTTGTTGTTTATTTACTTATTTTGATGGTTTATATTTTTATATTTTTGTATATATTTTTTTGATGGTTTATATTTTTTTGATGGTTATTTACTTAGCCCAATGAAAAAAATTAAAACATTAAAAATTAACTTAAAGAAGAGAATAAGAAAATAAAATTTTATCTTCGGAACTTTTACAGGTGAAGAAAATGTATAAGACTTGAAAATTGTGGATTCAAAATCAATTTTAATGACAATACGATTTTCACACCGTAAGCGTCTCAACGTGCAGACCACGCGTTAACCATACATTAACCATACGTTTACATCTATGTTATAGTTCGTTCTATGTTATAGCAAAAAAACAGGAGTTATCGCGCTTCTATTGAATAAAAAGTTTGGTATTCATGATAAGACAAAATGCCAACAAACTATTTGGTATTATCAGTTACATAGGTTATAATATCTTATTGTTAGTGTCTCAACATGCGTACCTCTTCCCTACAAAATAATTTTCTTTCTAAACTGAAGAACTAAAAATCTATATACATTTTTGGACATTCTTCTGGATATTTGTTACTTCTTCGTGAACTTCCTTCAATATTTTGGCATTGCAATTCATGGCAATACTCAATATTTGGGGTTCTATTGTACCAGCTTCAATAACATAGGTTTGGAATTTTTCGAAAATATTTTTAAGAGAGACTCGAAGATCATTTAATTTATAAGAAATGCAATCCTCTGACTTTTCAGGATCTTGAGAGCAGGACGATCTAATCGTATCCAACTCATTTCCCATAGACATAGTTTCCTGTAAAGAAAAAAGCAAATTATAAAATAAAAAAATAAATTATAAAAAACAAACTATAAAATAAAATATTAATTATAAAATAAAAAAAATATTAAAAAACTATAAAATAAAAAATTAATTAAAAAAAAACCGATTACACCAAGAAAAAGATACATTTGATTCAAAGCCTACTAAACTTTTCAATGTTTATTTGATTTAAAAAAATTTTATATGGTTTAAATAAATAATTTAATCTGAGTCAAATATACTTTATTTACTTAACTCAAATAAATTATATTTTATTCAACAAAAAAAATTTTTCTCAGGTGTAAAATAGTAGAAAATAGAAAATAAAAAAGCAATTATATCTTGAAACGAAATTAATTCAAGGTTGCCACAAAAATTTAATTTTGTTCTTTCTTGACTTTTTTTTAATTTGCATAATTTTTATAACAAAATTTCCAGAATTAATTTATTTATAAAACATTTTTTTAGAATATTTTAAATCTCTTTAGGAAAAAAATCACTATAATTTCTATTTGTTAATTACGATTTTTAACTAGATTATTTAAAATTTTTGTTAGAAAATTTACATAATTTCTATTTTTTATTATAATGTTTAATGAAATCTCAAGCATTTTTTTTAAGAATTAAAAATTTTCGTAAATTTTTTTTTTACCTTCCTATTGATCGTCATTAAAACATTGAATATTGTTAGAAAATAAAATTTTGAAAATTACCTTTATTGGAAAATGACCTTTATTAGAAGAAAGAAAATTAGAAAATCACCTTCAATAGAAAAAAGTTTTTTAGAAATTCACCTTTATTAAAAAAAAAATTTTTTAGAAAATAAATAATTAGAAAATACGTTTTAGAAAAATTTTACCCCAACCAAAATTTTAAATAAAATTCATTTTTAAGTCAATTTTTATTAGAAAATTCTACGAGAATTCAATTAATTAAATATACAAAAATAAGTAATTTATTGAATAATCGAATGTTTCTTAAAATTGAATTCTCATAAAGAATTTTATCAACAAATTTTTAGGAACAATTACATCTTTCGAGGAATTCGATTAAAATTTTATTATAAATGATTGAAATTCTGTAATGTGTTTTATTATTTATGAAAATGATAATTGAATTCCTGTAAAAAAAATTTATTATTTCAGAAAATAATTGAATTTCTACGAAGAATTTTATTATTTATAAAGATAATTGAAATATTAGCGGGAAATTTTTTTACTTTTAAAAATAATTGAATTTTTGTAATCATTTGTAACTTCTCTAAAATACAATTTTTTAGTGTTTTTAACTAAAATTTTTCTATAAATCTATTATTTTTAACAATTATTAATTAAATATATATTTAAAAAATTAACTAATTTTAGAAGAATTTGAATTTTAAAAATTTTTCAAAAATGTAAGTTCTTTAAAATTTCTAATAAAATTCATTCAATATTGAAATTTTCTAAAATTTAAAATTAAAACCGTTTGAAGTTCATTTATTTATGAAAATTGTATACGCAACTCTTTGAAAATTCATTTAATTTTGAAATATTTAAGTAAAATTATTTATTAAATAATTTACAAGCAATAATTTTATGATAGTTATTCAAAAATTGAGTTATTTAAAAAGAAATTATTGTCAGAGATAGAAAAAATTGAAGGTTTTGTAATAGAATTCGTGGTAATTTCATAGTTTATAAGTAAAATAAAAAGTCACCATAATTCAGAATTTTCTTATTAATTCTAAAAATTAAATTTTTTCCAGTACTTTTAATAAAAATTCTATACTTTTCCCTGAATTTCCTGACCAATTTAACTTTGCCTGAATTTCCTGACCTGCGGCAACCCTGTAATAAAAAAACTTATTATTTTCACTATACTTTATGAATATCCTGAATTTTCGTCCTAACTGGTTGTGCGGCTGCTGATGATTTTTCTCGACAAGTATCAAGAGTAAATGCAACTGTATTGATTATTTTCAATAATTTCTCCTTTTCAGATGCGATACAATCCTTTTTCTCTTTTGTATCTGCTTTTTCATTTGAAATCTAAAAAGCAAAGAAGAAGTAGAAGAATAAATAAATATTCCAATGAAATAAAATCAAAAATAACTTACGGCTGTAAAAGTTTGTGTAGCTTTCCATGATTGACCCAGTGCTTCCGTTGAAGTGTCTTTTACATTACTCACAAGAACGATGATTGAATTAAAAAAGTCATGTTCATTGTTAGCAATTTCATTAGCTGATTCATCTAATAAAGTTTTGAAGTCTGTGATTGGATCGCCAACAGCCTAGAGTGCAAATTAAACCGAAATTAATAAACTAAATAAAATAAAAGAAAAACTATGATTAAATAAAAAATCTTTAAATATTATTTGATTTAATCGTTAAAACAAGTAGGTTAAACAATTTTTTTTCTATAAATATTTTCCAAATTGGCACAAAATATTTTTCCTGTACTTTTGATAAAATTTCTTGTCATTTTCCTGAAATGTGATCTTATTTCACATATTTAATAATATTTCACGATTTTTTATTTAATTTTACATGATTTCAAAAAATTCATTAATTAATCAATGTAATTGTTGGTATTCACTGCTTTGATTACAGAGAATAATTTTAATTAATTAAAAATAATACTTACGTAAAAAATACCAAAAGCACACAGAACATAAAGCAAAATAAACTTCATGTTTTCACTTATTCAAATGAATGTTTCACACCAACTGAAATTTTAACATAAATCGCTTCGTATTTTAACCCTCTGCCTACGCAATGACCGTTATCGACAAAAACGACAATTCGGTCGCCTGGTGGGGACTATGGGAATGACATTCAAAAGCGCTAGAGTGGGGATAAGTCAGTGTAGGCAGAGGGTTAATAGAAGTAAATATGATGATCTCGGCTCAATTTATCTGCTTAATTTTTAATCACCAGATTCAACTATCAAAGCTCATTAGTCAGCTGTTACGTACGCGTTTTTATTAAATAATTACATTATATAACAACCATTTGTTTCACAACATTTCGAAAAAAGAAAAAAAAACCTACTTGAGTTAAAACTTGATATTCTTTTATATATTTATTATACAAAAAAAGAAATTCTTCAACCATTTGGGTCGCTTCAATAAATCATGGAGCGATTATTATTATAAATTACGTGTATGCGGGAAAGTCTGATACTTTTAGTTATTTTTTCTTTCTACTTTTTTATAGAATGACGAGATCGCGTGAAGTTAACTCCATAAATATTTCATATTTCAATAAAAATAATGTTCGACAAAAATTTATACGCGGAAAGAAAAATTTTAGTTAAATCAATTATAATTTGAGTTACATAAAGTTTTTGCTTCTTAGGTATACCTTTCTTCGGAACGATACTCGAGTATTTATTTAGGCCTTTTATTATACAAAATAATGAAAATAAAATAGAAAAAATTGAATTTTGGAATTAAAAATATTTAAGGTTTTGTATTTGTGATTTCAGGCTTCTCAACTTTCGCCATGTCCAAAAAAGTTGGATATGAGTAGAGGTGGATTATGCAGAATTCCGAACAGCGTCGTGGCTTTTCCTGCTATTGAGGAGCTTATGCTGGGTCAAAATCAATTGTCCAATATTAATAGCAACTTAAATTTACTCCAAAGGCAAGTAAAGAAAGTCACGTTAGAAACTAAATTTAAATATTTTCTTTTCAAACATCAATTTTAATATTTTTCTATTAAAAGCAATTTTAAACTAAAAAAATAAACTTTATTTGATTCAAATAATCTAGTAATCTAATAACAAATAAATAACCTAGTTGGCTATGAGACAAATAAACTTTTATTTAATTCAAATAAATTATATTTGGTTTAAATACAGTTTTTCTCTGGGTGTATAATGTATTAATCTAGGTATCAAATTATATATTTGTTTCAAATAAATTTTTGTTTGGTTCAAAAAATGTTATTCGAAATAAATTAAACTTTTATTTGAACCAAATAAATTTTATTTAAAACAAATATATTATATTTGAGTTAAATAAATGTACATTTGTTTCAGATCAAACTAGGTTATTTATTAATTTTAAATAAAAATTTTATTCTACATAAATATAATTTTTATTTATAATTATTTTTTATCCTTTTGTAAATGTCATTTTTTGTACAGGTTTCCAAAACTTCATACAATTTGCCTGGAAAGGAATAATCTGCAGAAAATACCGTGGGAATTGCTACAGTTACAAAATTTAAACATTCTCAATCTATCGGACAACAAAATCGAAAATGTGCCACCAGAAATTCGCGAACTTGTTAAGTAAGTAAAAAAAATATTTCCCATTATAGTGCCAGATTTTACTATTTACAATAACACTACCGTCGGGAATTATGGGTACAGCTGCACGCTCACGGCCCAAAAACAAACCAACCTATTTTAAATCACGATTGTTTTGTAAATACAAATGTCAGAAAATTAACAAATATACCATTCGAAAGATTATTAAATTTTACGATTAATGATACATAACAGAAAAATTTATTAATTTATACAAAGATTGCAGCAATCGACAAATTTGACAAAAAAATTTTAAAAATACAATTTTTTTTGAAATTTTTTCAACCCCTGCACATTTTTTAAAAATTGTAAAAAAAATTTGAAACTTACATAAGTGTGATCATTCAAGTCTCATCTTTAATTTAAGACCAAATGATTTGAAAAATCTTAATCGGTTCGCGAGATATCATTATAAACGGCCAAGCATTTTTCAGTCAAAATCCGTTCAAAATCGACTAATTCAATGCATTTGTCAAAAAACATGCTCGGACATTTATAATGATATCTCACGAACCGAATAAGATTTTTAAACTCTTTTGGTCTTAAATTAAAGATGAGACTTAAATAATCACACCTATGTAAGTTTAAAATTTTTTCTGCAATTTTTAAAAAATATGCAGAAGTTGAAAAAATTTTTTAAAAAAATTTATTTTTTAAATTTTTTTGTCAAATTTGTCGATTGCTGCAATTTTTGTATAAATTATTATAATTTTCAGTTTTGTTTCATTAACAGGGCTCGAAGCAGTGAAAGTATTTAAAAATACGGACCAACTGACAAAAATAGAATCAGGCCGAATCAAATAAGAGAACATTTTACTTAAAACTAGAAATTCAATTTTTCATAACTATAAAACATGAAGAAATCGATAACTCCGAGTCGTCTTCGACTCGAAGTCATCGATTTCTTCATGTTTTATAATAATTAATAATAATTATTAATAAAAATAATTTATAATAAGTAAAATCATTATCAATTTAATTATTATTTTTAAGATTTTTTATCTAAAATTCTTCTTTATATCGATTATTTTCAATAATTTTCGAAAAAGTTCTTTAACAATTTTCAAATTCATAATTATCTTTACAATATTCAATTTGATGAAATTTCAATTATTCGTAAATTCTTTAATTAAATAAATATTAGAAAATATAAACTAAAAATAATATTAAAAAAAACTCAATTAAACTTTTTCAAAAAAATTAATTACAAAATTCAATTATTATATCTAAAATTTTAACTGAAATTCATTTTTATGAAATGAAAATCAATTTTTATTAGAAAATTCTACTAGAATTCAATTATTTAATTATTTAAATACAAATAAAATGCAAATAAATAATTTATTGAATAATTGAACGTTTCTTAAAATTCAATTCCCATAAATAATTGTTATCAACAAATTTTCAAATAATTGAATTCTATCAACGAATTTTAATAAATTTTTTAAGAATAATTACATTTTTCGAGAAATTTGATTAAAATAATAATTTTTAATACAATTATTGTATTCAAAATAATTGAAATTCTGCATTGAATTTTATTATTTATGAAAATAATTGAATTCTTGCGAAAAATTTTATTAAAATTTTTAAAAATAATTAAATTCTTGTAAAAAATTAACAAAAATTCAATTATTTTTAAAAATTTTAATAAAATTCTTGGCATACATTAAAAATAACAAAATGCTTAGCAGATCTTCAATTACTTTCAGAAATTTTAATAAAATTTTTAGCAAGAATTTAAATATTTTCGTAGAATAATAATAATTTTTGCAGAGATTCAATTATTTTCAAAAGTCTTAATAAAATTCTTCGCATGAATTCAATTATTTTCAAAAATATCAGAATTTTAGCAGAAATTCAAACATTTTAAAAAGTTTTGATAAAACTTTTTTTGGTAGAAATTCGATTAGATTTTGGTAGAAATTCCTATTAAAAATTTTTCAACAAATTTTTAAATAGGTAATTAAATTTTTTGGACGAATTTTAATAAAATTTTAAAGAATTTTCTTGAGGAATTCGTTTAAAATTCTATTGAAAATAATTGAATTCCTAATAAGAATTTTATTATTTACGAAAATAATAATTGAATCCCTGTAAAAATTTTATTATTTATGAAAATAGTTGAATGATTGCGAAGAAATTTATAAAAAAAATTTGTTATTAATGAAATTCTTGTGAAACTTATACTATTTTTTGAAAGTACAGTAGGATCTTTCAATAGTGCAGTTCTGAACAGTGCAGTCATTAGTGAGTTGAGTAGACGAGGGGTTCCGGGAGGCAAAGAGAAAGGGAATCTGTGACGTCAAATACAGTGCCGTCGGTCATTTAATTGTTTAGTGTCATTTAGTGGTGCCAAGTATTTAGGAGTGGGGGACCCTTTATTTTCTTGACACGGTCCTAAATTATTACGTTTATGCACTCTTCGAATAGTGCACAATATTCCCGACGACTCCACTATTGGAAGATCCTACTGTAATTAAAAGTTTTTGTAGAATTTTATTAAATTTTTTTTTAAATAATTAAATTCTTTTGGTAAATTTTATGAAATTAGTAGATATTGAACAATATTTAATTTTTGCGAAGAATATTATTACTTTTGAAAATAATTGAAATTTTGCAATGGATTTTATTAAAATTTTTGAAAATAATTGAATTTTATTACTTTAGAAAATAATTGAATTCGTATGATAAATATTGTTAATTATGAAAATAATTAAAATTGAATTTCGGAGAAGAATTTTAATATTTCTAAAGATAATTTAAATTTTGACGAGAATTTTAAAAAAATTTTGAACATAATTGAATTTTTGCGAAGAATTTTATTACTTTTAAAAATAATTGAATTTCTGCAATCATTTGTAATTTCTCTAAAATTCTCAAAATTATGTCGTACAATTTACGAACTTTTCATCCTTTTTGAATGAAATTACGGACTTTACGGACCTTTTTTCAAAAAAACGGACTTTTACGGACTTGAAGCAAAGTTACGGACTTTTTCAGGATTTACGGACCTACTTCGAGCCCTGCATTAATCGTAGAATTTAATAATCTTTCGAATGGTATATTTTTTAATTTTCTGTCGATTGTATTTACAAAAAAATCGTGATTTAAAGATTAGTATATTTTTGGGCCGTGCAGTGCAGCCGTACCGATAATTCCCGACGGTAGTGTATAATAGTCAGAAGAAATAAATAATAGTAGAAAATTTATTTTTATTCGAGAATTTTAAAGGTTTTTTTCGTTGTGGCTTTTTCTCACAGTGCTAGAGAAAGAGAGTGGAATTATAATGTGGCCAACCCTCTGAAAAGATAAGTGTAGGTAGTAAAATATGGATCCTAAATGTACTAATAATTTAGTATAATTTGAAATCCGAAAAATTATCTGCGCCCGGAAATGGAAAATGGCAAAAAATTGCATTAAAAATCAGAGGAGAGTGTGTCATTATCTGTTTTTCATTTTTCTCGAAAATTTAACTCATCTAAAAATATAGTCCAACTTGAAAAAAATTCCAATCATTAAATTTTCAAGCACGGAGAAAATTTATAAAGTATTTATAGCCATAATAATTTCTTCTTATTCTCATAGAATTTCATTTAGACAGATGAAATTATGCCCCAGAAGAGAAGTTTGCAATTTAAAGCCTCTCTCATATCGCGTATACGAGTCGGCACATAGCCCCATATTGAGTACAATTCAACTCTGGAGTTATACGTTTGAATTACTAAGACATTATATAATACAGTGTTGTAAATTTTATGTCATTCATTATTGTCAAATGGAGATAATTATTTTTAGGGTAAAATATTTTTTTTTAAGGAAAAGCTTCAAAATTTCGGCTAAGAAAAATTTCTATATACTACAACCAGAGAAAAATGTTATTTTAACCAAATATAATTTATTTGTGTTAAATAAAGGTAAATTGCTAAACTATTTATTTGTTTTAATTACAATTTTTATTCAGCACAAATAAAATTTATTTGGACCAAATAAAATAATTTAGTAGACCCAAACTTTTTTTCTGTATGTACACAAAGATGAAAGATTTATTTGACTCACAGACAACAAGAATTTTTATTTGTGTCGAAAGAAATTGTTATTTCAAATAAATAAATGATTCAGTAGGCTTCGGGATAAAATAATATATTCTTCTATTTACGTCAAATGAATTATATTTGGTATTTGGTATTCTCAGGGTGTTTTGAAATTATTCAAGTAAATATTTATTAGATTATGAACAAGAAATTGGTTATTTGAAGCAAATAAATTTTTTTTCACTGTAAAAAATAAAAATTCCAGTGAATTAAAATTTCAATAAATAGAAACATTTAAAAGACATTGACAGTTAAATTGAATTTCTTTTGTTATACCTACACCAAGAGAAATGGTATATTTGTCTCAGAACCAACTAGACTTTTTATTTGTTTCAAATAAATTTTATTTGGTTTAAATAAAACTTTATTTGGCTCAAATATACATGTTTTACTTATGTCGAATAAAATTTTTATTTAAAAGAAATAAACAGTCTAGTTAATTCTGAGACAAATATACGTTTATTTAACTCAAATAAAATATACTTGGTTTAAATAATAATTTTTTTTTGGGTGTAGATTTCTGTAAATTTAAGAGAGTTATTTACTAAGGCAAACATCCCTTACGATTATTTTCAAAATTTACAATAAAATTCTTTTAAAATTCAATTAAATTAAGAAAATTTAATTTTTTTTTTAAATAAAAATTTGTTTAAATTTCAATTGTTTTAAAAGTTGTCATACCATTATTTTAATATTCAATTATTATTAATAATACTATTTTAAATTTTTTAATTATTTCAATAAAATTCTTTTAAAATTAAATTATTTAATTTAATAAAATTTTAGACAATTCCAATAAAATTCTTTCAAAATTCAATTATTTTTAATAGAATTTTAGGAAATTTAAAATTCAATTATTTTTAATAAAATTTTAAAAAATTTTAACAA